TATAGGTACTTTTGGTTCCAGACGGACGACAGTGCCTGGGACTCCTGACCATCCACAGCAGCTTGGGATCCCCTCCACCATCTACAGCGGTTAGCACCCCACTGGATGGATTCCTGCAGGACTAGGATTACGGCTAAACTGATGGCTATTTTATCACTTCCATATTGTGAGTTTTACGATTTGTGGCTTATTAAATATCTTTTTATACTGCACTTAGAAGGCTCCTTTCTGTCTTTCCTTATTATCTCTCCAGTCTGAGGAGACAGGTGCAAGGCCATTGGAGCCTGGTGGAATGCAGACACTCCAACTGTCTTGTATGAAAAGCAGTTTTTCTAAACATTGCAAGCCTTTCAGGATCTTCTCCAAGGGGACCCGAGTGAAGTTGATGATTGACAACAAGACAGCAGTAGCCTACATTGTCCGCCAAGAGTCTTTTCCTGTTACATTTCGCAACAGAAGCTTTTTGCTGGTCGGAGAGCAGCTTACAGACAGTTAACAGCGTTCCTCTTACTGGGAAAGAATCCACTATCTGATCAGTTAGGTGGATTATTTTCCAACAAGTACCTCAACCAGTATTGGTTCTATAGGGCATTCCAGCAATAGTTCTCAGAGACTCCACTGAATGTGCAGCTTCTGGTATTTGGAACAAGGTACAAAGGTGAAGACTCAGTAAAAGAAGTTTCACAGTACCATGGGATTTTGCATTGGGTGTGTTTTCTCTGGTGCCCTTGATTATGAAGGTGCTTCTGAAAATTTGGACAGAACACGTTCATGCCAAACAGGTGCTTTCCACCTGCTGAGGAGCCCTTGGTTTTTGCTGCTACTCCATATGTCATCACCACCAACAATTCAGTTTCCGGTCAAACAAGATCTGCTTTTATGCCAATGTCAATGGCAGCACCCCAATCTAGTGAGACTACTTTTAATACCTTGGCTATTGAATCTGCTGGACCAGAGGTGCAGGCACTCTCATCCGAGTTGGTTCAGAACTTGGTGAAGGCAAGAAGATCATCCATGAATGCTACATACGAGAGTATATGAAGGAAGTTTGTTTTGTTTGCTCAACAAAAGATTTTTCTCCTTTGTTCCCAGCTCTATACATCTAGCTAGAGGTTGGCCTAGCATACCAAATGCTTCATGCAGGTGGTAATCTATATACAACCCCCAAAGAAATCCTTGTTTCCTTCATGGGATTTAGGATTGGTTCTGAAAGCACTGGTGCAGGCATACTGAGCTCCAATAGCTTCATTTCCATTGAGGTTCCTCATGGTAAAACTAATTTTTCTGACAGCATGTGCTTCAGACAAAAGGATTGCGGCACTTTCCTGTAAAGATCCTTTTTGTGTCTTTTTATCAGAAATAGTGATACTGTCAGGAGCCGACTGGCGGTAGCCTCTAACGACCCACAGGCCGGAATTCCTCAGGGCGCGGAGTCTAAGCCTCAGTCTGCTGATTCACCAGAGCCCCTGATGGTGGGGATGGACTTGAAGCAGCCTGAGACCAGGTCGCGACCCCCGAGTACAACCAGCAGTGGTAGAGGCAGCCGCCAATGGCGGGTGGCAGGTGAGAGCCAGATGTGAAGAGGTAGTAACGTAGTCAGACGGGCCGGGTTGGTAACAGCGGAGCAGACAGTACAGAGCGGCAGGCACAAGAATAATCAGGTCACAGGCCAGGTTCAGCAACAGGAGGTCAGACAGTCAGGATCAGGCAGAGAATAGTCAGGACGAGCCAAAGGTCAGAGCAGGAGAAGACAACAGGATCAGGGTACGGCTGGGTCAGCAACAAAGCAATCAATAAGCAGGAACAATCAGGAACACAGGAACAAGACCATACGGCAATTTGGTGATGCACAGGGCTGGTTTAAATAGTGTGCCCTGTGCTCTCATTGGTGCCAGGTGCGCGTCCACAATCGTGAGTGCCTAAGTCCCAGTGCTTACCGGCTAATGCGCATCGTGTGCAGACCGTGCGCTGCTGTGATCCCTGTCCATCTCCAAAGCTCTGTTCTAAAGTGGTAGCCAGTTTCCAGGTGTGGACACATCATCCCCCGGACGAAGCTACGAAATCCCTGTAGCGCAACGCGTTGGGGAGGGGGCAGTGATGTCACTGTGCATCCTATCTACTATACGGTGAGTACTGAAGGTGTGTGTACACACACCCACCGCTATGTTTTAGCTGCAAGCTGCGGATTTTTGACAGATCTAAAAGCGCTATTGTATTACATGATATGTGAGTGCATTATGGAAGCACATTAAAAGCTGTTTTTACCCCTGGGATAAGACACCATATTCTTTATTTCTCTTTTACATGAGACACACGAGGAGCATAAAGGCAGAGGATTGAGGAGTGGATCAGAGGAGGGAGTATCCCTCACAGCCCTGCAATCACACAGGTTTCCAACATTATTGCAAAGACCTGATCTACATACTGAAGGAGAGCATATCTTTGCTGGACACATTTGGGACAGTACTGCTGTTTCCTTTTCAGCAGTTTTTTTCATTTTTATCTTTATTTATTATTTTTTATTTTTAGTTATAGCATATATTTTTTTGTTGTGGTTTATAGATGGAATAGTTGCACATTCATATAAGGATGGCACAAATAGTGATTTGACAATAAGGCATTATTGTATCAATTTATTTAATTCTTATATTTTTTAATTATTTACTCACATCAGTCACTTTATATATATTATTGTTATATTATTTTATAAGCACTTTGCACTTTTTTGTCTGCACTTTTTGATGGTATTAGAGCGCGGTAATTATTTAAATACTCAGTTTAAATAGCCCTTTTGATGCCAGCATTAGTGACAGGCGCGCGCCCGTATGTGCGAGTGCGCATGCACATAAGCGCGCCTATGTCCAAGTGCCTGCACATCTGTTTGGCTCGTAAGGACTCTGCACATGCGCATATTTGTGCGCCGTGGAACTTCACCTGCACTATGGGCAGGCCTTTCCTGACACCTAATTAACAAGAATTCAACTACAGGCCAGTCTAATTATTCATTAAACATGTGTCCAGCAGACAGTTGATTATAAAAGGGTGTACTTAACAAAGAAAACCTCTTCCCCATTACATGCTGTCAGCAATGGCACCACAAGGAAGAGAAATGTCACTGAGGCCTGTGTCAGAGCAGGAGCTGAGGAACGGACAGGCAGGCCTAAACTATGTAACGCACTGGCTGACGACAACCACCACCCACAGACCAAAAGTCCCTCAGGGCGCGGAGTCTAAGTCCCAGGCTGCCCTTCACCAGGGCCCCTGATGGTGGGGATGGACTTGACGCAGCCAGGAACCAGGTCGCGGCCCCCGAGACACCTCAGTTGCGGTAATGGCCGCCACCAATGGCGTGTAGCTGGTGGAAAAGACAAAAAAAGAGTAGTCAGGCAGGCCGGGTCAACAACAACGGGACAAAACGGTACAGGACAGCAGACAAGAATCACAGGTCACAAGCCGGGTTCAGCAACAGAGGGTCAGATCAAAGGAGAACGCAAAGAATAGTCGAGTCACAAGCCGAGTCAGATTCCAGGAGAGTCAGAACAGAGTAATAGCGACACAAGTGCAAAGAGCATGTGTGGACCACAGGCTTATATGTCATCAGCCACACCCCTCTGGGGGATGGTCCTCCGAGACCTGAAGGCATAAAGGATTCCCACCATGCTCAGCAGAAATCCAAGATGGATGCCAGCACATAGAGTAACATAACCTCTGGGAAAAGGTAGGACCTTGACAGCCTGAGAAAGAAAATAATTTCTTTGCACAAGGAAGGTGAAAGCTACAAGATCAGAAAAGCTTTACTTATCAGTCAGAATACTGTAGCAAAAGTGATATAAAAATTTAACAGAGATGGAACTGCAACCATCTCACAGAGACGTCCAGGTTAACACCTTGACAGGAGCATCTTCTGCTAAGAAGGGTTGAAGAAAATTGCCATGCAAGTTCACTACAGTTAGCTAAAGAGAGACATTGGTTCTGTCCTTACAAATCATGGAGGTCATACAAAATACTAGATGTAGTAGTTTTTGTTGTAGGGGGTGTATTCATTTTTGCACCAACTAATTTGAGTAAAATGGAAGATTTAGTAATCTAAGTTATATCAACCTTACTTTCATATAATTAGCTAAACAAATTCTCTATAAAAAAAAACTCAGTTTTGTCAATTTTTAAAATTGTTCCTGTGTATTGAGATATTGATTAAAATCTTACTTTTCAAAAGGGGTGTACTCATTTATGCTGAGCACTGTGTATGTACAGTATCTCACAGAAGTGAGTACACCCCTCACATTTTTGTAAATATTTTATTACATCTTTTCATGTGACAACACTGAAGAAATGACACTTTGCTACAATGTAAAGTAGTGAGTGTACAGCTTGTATAACAGTGTAAATTTGCTGTCCCCTAAAATAACTCAACACACAGCCATTAATGTCTAAACCGCTGGCAAGATAAGGGAGTACACTCCTATGTGAAAATGTCCAAATTGGGCCCAAAGTGTCACTATTTTGTGTGGCCACCAATATTTTCCAGCAGTGCCGTAACCCTATTAGGCATGGAGTTCACCAGAGCTTCACAGTTTGCCACTGGAGTCCTCTTCCACTCCTCCATGATTACATTACGGAGCTGGTGGATGTTAGAGACCTTGCGGTCCTCCACCTTCCATTTGAGGATGCCCCACAGATGCTCAATAGGGTTTAGGTCTGGAGACATGCTTGGCCAGTCCATCACTTTTACCCTCAGCTTCTTTAGCAAGACAGTGGTAGTCTTGGAGGTGTGTTTAGGGTCGTTATGTTGGAATACTGCATTGCAGGCCAGTCTCTGAAGAGAGGGGATCACGCTCTGCTTCAGTATGGAACAGTACATGCTTGCATTCATGGTTTCCTCAATGAACTATAGCTCCCCAGTGCCAGCAGCACTCATGCACCCCCAGACCATGACACTAACCACAATGCTTGACTGTAGGTAAGACACACTTGTCTTTGTACTCCTCACCTGGTTGCCACCACACACACTTCTACTCCATCTGAACCAAATAAGTTTATCTTGGTCTCATCAGACCACAGGACATGGTTCCAGTAATCCATGTCCTTAGTCTGCAGCACACTCTTTCTTGAGCATCATCGTTAGAAGAGGCTTCCTTCTGGGACGACAGCCATGGAGACCAATTTGATGCAGTGTGCGGCGTATGGTCTGAGCACTGACAGGCTGACCTTCCACCCCTTCAATCTGCAGCAATGCTGGCAGCACTCATACGTCTATTTCCCAAAGACAACCTTTGGATACGATGCTGAGCACATGCACTCACCTTCTTTGGTTGACCAAAGCCTGAGTGGAACCTGTCCTGTTAAACCACTGTATGGTCCGGGCCACCATGCTGCAGCTCAGTTTCAGAGTCTTGGCAATCTTCTTATAGCCTAGGCCATCTTTATTTAGAGCAACAATTCTTTTTTCAGATCCTCAGAGAGTTCTTTGCCATGAGGTGCCATGTTGAACTTCCAGTGACCAGTATGAGAGAGTGAGAGCGTTAAACACCAAATTTAACACACCTGCTCCCCATTCACACCTGAGACCTTGTAACACTAACGAGTCACATGACACCGGGGGAGGGAAATTGGGCCCAATTTGGACATTTTCACTTAGGGGTGTACTCACTTTTGTTGCCAGCAGTTTAGACATTAATGGCTGGGTGTTGAGTTATTTTGAGGGGACAGCAAATTTACACTGTTATACAAGCTGTACACTCACTACTTTACATTGTAGAAAAATGTCATTTCTTCAGTATTGTGATGTGAAAGATATAAAATATTTACAAACATGTGAGGGGTGTACTCACTTCTGAGAGTACACACACACACACACACACACACACACACACAATTGCCAAAAGTATTGGGACACCCACAGGTGTGTGTAACTTGCAAGCCAAACAAAAAAACCTTAGGGATCACTAACAATTAACACATACTCCAACTGTGCAATTTAAATCAAATATCTATAAATGTTGCTCTCCTATTATCCAACTATATAAAGTGTGTGAAATATTATTATATATACAAACTTACAAAAAATTTTCAATATATCAATAAATTGATCATACTAAAAAACAACAAAAAAATAAATCCATTATCCAAAAAAAAGTCCACATTTGTGATAAAGTGATTAAAACATAATACAGTGACTTTCCGTGAATCCTTCAGTGAAAATAGATGTGCGCTCACCTCCTTCTAAGCCTATTATACAGGCTTAATAAGCTTTTGGTTCACATATCCTGGAACCTACTAGGATTGCTGCAGTATATGATGGATGTTGGGTACTTCTTGCAAACATCTTTCCCCTTTAAATGCTGTATATCTCTGCAAGGATTTCTCCCTCCTTCAGCTGCTTTGAATCACTATACTGACACACACAGCTCCTTTGGCCTAGTCCTCAGGCCATTAACTGTCTCTTGCAGACATTCATACCCTGGCTGCTACATGCAGCCTCTCTGACTCCTGTAGGAGACCTTCTGTCTCTCTTGAGTGCAGCCCTGAAGTATTTCTAAACCTCCATTATAAGGGCAGTGTGCACCGGGGCACACACCTTGCTGTTGCTCCACAAAACCCAGACACTGGGTTGAAGATTCCTTCCCGCCCAAGGCACTATGGAATCTCCAAACAAGGAAGCCCCATCCAGGACTACCAAAACCTGGAGAAAGCTGCAAAATCAGTTTTCTCCATTTAAAACACATGCTCCCTAGTCCTGCACTCAGCAAAAGTGCAAACCCTGTGTCCTTTTTATTACCAATTTCACTGTGACAGAGTCTCATGCTGTCACTATATATATATATATATATCTAGCTTTTTCTATTTTACAAAACAATTGACCGTAAAAAAAGGATAGATAAGCTTTTTTAAACAGTAACTCTTGCTGTAGAGTTGATTTACTGCACTAGCCTCAACAATGTATTGTGTAAGTTTTCTAGTGGAAGTCCAAAGTACAGGTAACCAAGAGCTATAGCTGCTGGTCTCCAGTGTCTGCTTATGACGCACATTGCAGATTTGCTGTCAGCATTTGAGCCATGTTGTCATTCTCTAAATACAGCCACCGGCTTGTGAACTTCCTGGGTAATGCTAAGCAATGTTTGCCTTTTACATTTCTCCTATTGAGAAAAGCAGGACTGTTTAATGAAATTACATTTGCTTACCCTTACAAAGAAGAAAAACTCATTAACCTGCTTAAGGTTGTCAATAGGGATGAATTTCTAAATTGCCAACATAAGTCATTGTGAAGGGTAAAAGAACTGCCAGGAGAGGTGCACAGGTACCGACACAAATGTTCCCAGTCTGTCACCCTATCTACTGTACCACACCTATCCAACTTTATTGTTGTTGATTCTGCATGCTTCAGAATTTGTGCTGGTGCACTGATGTAATACTTATTTACTATTTCCTCACTCTTGATCTGTTCACTTACAGATGATCAGCTATCTGGTAACGGTTTGCCCTTGATCTTCTAGTTGTCAGTTGTAGATGTATTAAACACCGAATGCGCAAAGTGTCTCTAGCCTCTCTTACCCCTTTGTATGCTTTGTGATACCAGAACTTGTTAGTGTGACAGTAGGGCTAGTCAGTCAACTCAGGTAGCAGATTGGCCAACACATTACACTTGGCTAGGGGCCACAAAATAAAAATCCAGCCTTGGATGTCAACCTGTAGAAGTTAGGCATCTTTGAAATTAACTTTTGGTTTTGTCTAGTGCCATCTCAAGTCATGGGCATTGGTTTTTCAAAGGTTTTTATTTATTGAAATATTTTCAAGTAGTACAATAAGAAGGATCCAGAGAGTATGGACACAGTTCTAAATTATAAATGCAGCTTGAATTCTCAGGTAGAAAAACTAATTCTTCATACATTCATATGGCATCTAGGTGGAAGCCATTGGATCCTATATTAAATAATGGTACAATGTTATGAGGTAATATTAAGATAGATAGATACATTTATCATAATTCTGTTATCAGGGTTCAAGACTGAACATTTTAAATAATCATCAATTGTTTATTGATAACTATTAGGTGTTGTTCTGCTATTACCAAAACCTACTGTTCAAGCAATTATTTCTACATCCTATATATGAAATTTTTAAGAACACACACATGTTGAACTGGACGGACTGATGTCTTTGTGTTAGATTTTAGATATCTGTAGAATTCCCCAGAGATTCAAAAGTATTTCCATCAGAACCAAGAAACTGAATATGGTTCAGATTCATGTTCCTCTTTGTGTATCATTTCCTTCATAGATTTATTCTCATTCATCTCACATACCCATTGCTTCATAGAGGACAGATCAAATTTACACCAATATCTTTCTATGATGGTGCGGGCAGGAGAAAGCATATGGAATAAAAGGTCCTTCTCAATTGATTTAATTGATCTGGGTAGAATAAGAGAGTAGTATGTGGATTGGGGAAGATATCAATATGGGCATGTCTTCTACGTTTGGATGAAATTGGGGTCTTACCCAAGGTTGTGGGGTCAATTTCAAAGATAAAATGTTGTCATGTTTCACATGACTGTCATATGCCTTTAAGTGTTTCTATAGTTTGTCTCTGCTTCTCCTTTTCCTTTGGTTTAGTTAATGCTGTATAGATAGCCCACCCTTTTTTCCCAGAAATGCATTGCAGCTCTAGCTTCATGTCATGAAGCAGGACACATTATGATATTTTGACCGATCTGATGTTCATTGTTGTAAGGTTCTCTCAGTTTATGGATAAACTTCACAAGATCTACAAGATATCATCTTGATTGAGTCACTGACTGTGGTATCCAACTGAGATTGGAGTTATCATTATCTCATCACAACTGTAAGTTACAGAGATCACTCTTTCAATGCTTAGATTGGAGAAACAGAACAAATGTCTTCTTCCTTTAGGGTAATCCTTTCAACATTTTTTCTAATTTAATCTCTCATATGTACTTTCTAGCTGTTTTAATTTTCTTCGTAAACTTCTGAGTCTTGTTGGGTGGTTCATTAATCTTTGTAGCTTCACTGAAATTTGACCATGGTTGTCTTAACATGGGAGGGTAAAATAGTCCTTGAACTTGATTAAAGTTGTATGTGTAGCCAAAACCCCCTTTTTAGTTTTGGATTGAATAATGAAGGGTTAAATCCCTATCAGGCTTTTCATTTGCTCTTGTGAAGGCAGGTTATGGGTGCTGGACTCTACAAAACGTCTAATGCTAAGTAGAATGCCTCTTGCGCTTTAGGAATGCTGACTCTTGGGGGAAGTTCTGGAAAGCAGAAGGTCCCACAATCTGGAATAAGGTTTACATTGAGAATATCAGCACCACACCTCAGTATAGAGTCCAAAGGCATCTACTAGATTGTACCAAATTATTGTAACTGTAATGTCTGCCTTCATTTTGTAAAGCGCTGCACAAACTGTTGGCGCTATTTAAATCCTGTATAATAATAATTACATAAAGCAGTCCATGTTGAAATCAAGTTTTTCTAGGCAATATACACTGCTCAAAAAAATTAAAGGAACACTTTGAAAAACACACCAGATCTCAATGGGGAAAAATATCATGCTAGATACCTATACTGATATGGACTGGGTAATGTCTTAGGAACAAAAATGTGTACAAGTAAAACTTCAGCGCAACAAGCAATTTACCAACTATGTATATTAGTGCTGCTGACACTTACTTGCATTTCCACACACAAATAGATATATCTTATAATCGTTTTGCGCATATAACCTATAAAACATCCAAAACGTGTTAATTAAACACTTAGTGAATACAATAATTGCAACTTAAAAGTCCTTCATGTGTAATATTATCTGTGCTTCTATGATATATTCCCTCAACAGGTACTCTATATTCGTTATATCCGCATATATTCTTAAACGTGCTCCTTCACCAGAGACATACGTATATACTCTCACCTCCTTATATGACCCACATTGCATAGGTCAAATACCGCATTTCCCTTTTAAACCCGGGTAGGTATACTGTATAGATGGCTCCACTCACCTACTCACTCTGTTGCAATCGGTCTCGTCTCCTCTTTATCCCATATATCCTCTACATATGTAAACAGAAACGCTTGCCATAGTGTAGTATTAAATATAAAGTGATTTATTAAAAAATATAAAGTGCACTTACATTTAAAAGTGTCCTAATGGGACACCACAGTAAAAAAAAACTGGTTATAATGCAATTCCAATGTGTTCAGGAATTTCCAAGATGGCAGCTCATAAAATTCTGGCTTAGCGGCTTGACATCATCAGTTTACCATATGTGGGCCAATGATGTCAAGCGTTTCTGTTTACATACAATATGCAGCAGGCTAGTCAATTTTGCTGAAATTCCATTGCAGCAACTCAAAATGGTACTCAGTAGTTTGTATGACCCCATGTGCTTG